GCAGACATCCCATACCTCTGTCCTGGTCTCCCTGGAAAGGAGCTAGCTTCTGAAGGGGATACGAGGGTTCCAGAGACAGAGCAGGGGTAGGACTGTAGCCTAGTGGCCACCGTGGGTCCAGAGAAAGAGAAGTCTAGAATCTGGAACTTCTTTTATTGTTACATCTGCTCCATGAAAGCTGGACACTGCCACAGCTGCTAGGTAGGGTGGAGAATGGCAAGTCCTGGTAACAGAGCTACCCATGCTGCCTTGGCCAAGACACGGGGCATGTTTGCTCTCCCAGGGACTCTTGACTGTGGTGGGGACTCCCTCCGGCCCTCCAACCCTCAGGCCCTCACATCTGACACTGCACATGGACATCACAGCTTGCAGAATAATCGGAACTCGAGTGAGGAAAAGTACAAGCAGATGCCAAATAAAATTACACAGGGAAACACTCCAGAGGCAGCTGAGGATGAGCACAGGCTTATTTCTGACCTGGTTTTGACCAAGTAGGACAGACATATGTCATGTCATGGTGAATCAGGCTCTGCCTTCTGGGTTGAAAGTTCCAGAAGTTGCTCCCTTCCACTAACCTCAGGCTTGAAGATACCACCACCCTTAGCTGAACCTGGCATTTTCTAGCCAGAGAGGTTAAGCTGGGTCCTGGGTGGCAGCATCTGGGTCTTTCTCTAGCACAGGCCAATAGTGAACTGTGGGACTCAGAGGATATGTTCTAGGCCCTGGTAACCTCCTGTTTTGTGGTTCTCAACCCACCAAGGGGCTCAGGGTTATTTTCTCCCAGCCTGTGACAGCAGCCATGCCTCCAAAATAGCTTTAGGGTAATGTCCTTGAGGTCAACCTGCCCAGTGCAGATTCCATGTGTATGACCTGGGCAAGCTACCCAAGGAACACAGGGAAGGGGACATTGAGACAAAGATGGACAGGAGACCTCTGAACATGCAGTGTCTTTACTGAAATGTGCATCGGAGTTTCCTTGAATGAGGCTGAGGCTAGAATCTCGCTTGTCCTATTTGTCTGCACGTAGAGACTTTGGCAGCAACAAGCGGCAGTCTATGGATGAGACTCCAGGGTCAGGGCCAGGGCTCTTTCTCCGACTTGAGTGCAGCCCCCACCCCTCTCCTTAGCAGGAATGTGAGCACAAGGATGGCATTTCCAGCCACACAACAGGATGTAGGTCAAGGTGTGGGGGGGCTGGCAGCCCATTAATGTGGGAGTAGATGAGACAGAGGCCTCTGCACTCAGTACCCTTAGATACAGAGGGCCAGTTGCATGTGGCTAGCTAGGATTTGCAGCATTGAACAGAGAAGTCTGGGTGCCAGCTCCCTGCATTCCTTTCGGTAGTGACCTCCCAGAGTCCTGCCCTGCATACACAGGATGGCCTGCACATCCCTGAGTATCCCACCCACATCCCTCTGTGTGCGGGCGTCATTGTTGTCTGTACACCTGCAAGTCATTGCTGAGCCAAGACCTGATGACCACTGAAGCCCCAGACCCCTTCTGAGTGGAGGTCTCACTGGTGACAGAAAGCTGCAGGCCTTACCGCTCCATCTGCCAGGCCTCGGACACAAGATGCTCACACGGACCCAGAGGCTCCTTGCAGGAGGTGAAATCAGGGCCTGAGTGGTGTAAGCATCACTGTGGCTATTTCCCCCATAGTGGAGGTGGCCTGGTGACAGATTCTATCGCACAGAGTCAAATACTCCGAGCCGGGGTGGCCTGTGGGCTGGTGTGGTTGTGGTAGGGAGGAGAATCATCAGGTAAGACGTGGCAGCCTCGAGGTTGTGTGTGGCCAGCTAGGTCTGCCGGATTTCCCAGCAAGGTGACTGTCTCCTATGCCATTTGATGAATGCAGCTCTAAGCCCCAGATTGTATCCCAGCAGTGAGACGCCAGTCACAACCTCTGTCCGTTGCCATTCACTTATTTTCTGTAGCCCACCTAGCCACATACACTGAGGTTTGCTTAGAGACTGTTTTCAGAAAAAATACTTTATTGAGAGATAACACACACACACACTGGACATTTAACACATTTGAAGTATCTTCCCAGTCCATGCTTTTCAGAAGTAGTCCCATCACCACAAATGAAAACCTGTGTCCCCCCCAAACCCTGTGTCCCCCAAACCCTGCCTCCTCAACCCCAACCCCTGGTGGCCACTAATCCACTTTCCTGTAGATTTCCTTAATTTGAACTCTGATGCGAACTGAACCATCAAGTGTATCTTCTGTATCGTTTCTCACGTCACATTTTCAGGGTTCACTCACACTGCTGTCCGTTGATGATTCAGAGTATTCAGAGTATTCCATCACATGAACAGACCACATTTTGTTTATTCTTCATCCATAGAATCACATTCTGGTTATTTTGCCTTCTGATGTAAAATCCTGTACAAGTTCTATGGAGACGTGCTTTCTCCAGCAGAGACCCACGTGTGGAGCTGTGGAGTCTGGTGGTAACTCTGCTCCTCATTTAGGGAGCTGCCAGAACGTTCTCTAGAGTGACTGGACCAGTCCGAGTCTATCTTACTATGTGGAATGTCCTTCAGAACTGATGGCATCAAGTGTGTGTGTGTGTGTGTGTGTGTGTGTGAGAGAGAGAGAGAGAGAGAGAGAGAGAGAGAGAGAATATATATATATATATATATATATATATATATATATATATATATACCTTCTTTCATGGTATCATAAATGGGATTTAAAATTTTTCATTTTCAGATTATTTGTTGAGAGTTTATAGAGATAAGATTGACTTTTGTATATTTGTCTCATATCCTTCAATGTTACTGAATTAATTTTTTCAGCTTTAATGTGTGCATTTATTTTAGTGGATTCTTTGGGCTTTTCTGTAAACAAGGTCATGTCACCTGTGAACAAACAGTTATTTCTTCCTTTCCAAACTGGATTTATTTGTTTGTTTGTTTACTATATCAACTGTCCTGGTTTGAGCCTTCAGAACTCCTTCGCTGCTGATTATCTGATCTTACTTAGGATGGGGTTGTGGGGGTTCGAGACAGGATTTCTCTGTGTGGCTCTGGCTGTCCTGGAACTCACTCTATAGACCAGGCTGACTTCAAACCCAGAGATCTGCCTGTCTTTGCCTCCCAAGTGCTGAGATTAAAGGCGTGTGCCACTATCTCCCGGCTCTGATCTTACCTTTTAATGATGCTATTATTATGAATTATATTAAGGAGTTTCAGGTGCCAAGTCAACCTCGCTTCCCTAGCAAAAATCGTCCTCTATTATTTTTTTTAACTTATTACATGCATCTATTTATTGAGAGAGGGCATGTGTGTGCCATGGCTCACAGGTGAAGGTTAACGTGCAGAAATTGGTTCCCTCCTTCCACCATGTAGGTCTTAAGAATCAAAATCATGTCATCTGTCTTGGTGGCAAATGCGTTTACCTGCTGAGCTGTAGCTAGAGTTTTCCTGCCTTGCCCACAGTCAGGACAATTCTTTGTCACCCACCAGTCCCACAGCCACTTAGACCCAAACAAGTAAACACAGAGACTTATATTGCTTATAAACTGTATGGCCGTGGCAGGCTTCTTGCTAACTGTTCTTATAACTTAAATTAATCCATTTCTATAAATCTATGCTTTGCCACGTGGCTCATGGCTTACCGGTACTTTACATCTTCCTTGTCCTGGCAGCTGCTGCAGGCAGTGACGCCTTCTGCCTTCCTGTTCTTTTATTTCTCCTCTCTGTTAGTCCCGCCTATACTTCCTGCCTAGCCACGGCCAATCAGGTTTTATTTATTGACCAATCAGAGCAACTTGACATACAGACCATCCCCCAGCACAGCCAAGTGCAGATCATCTCAGACACCTGCACTCAGGCCCATGGTCCTAATCATCCTCTATGCAGACCTGCTGGGTAAAGCCACAAGGAACCCGAGAATGGGCTCCCACAGGACATACAGAACATCCCACAGCACTGAGCCATCTCAAAGGTCCTCCATCATGGTTTCTAAGTCTTCCCTCTGCTGCTGGGTTCTGTTTGTTATCACTTTCTTTTATTGTTTTCATTTTTGTTTCTGAGATGGTCTCATGTAGCCTAGTATGGCCTCAAGATGGATATACAGTTGAGGACGGCCTTGAATTCCTGATTCTCCTGCCTGTACCTCCCAAGTGCTGGGGTCAGAGGAGCGCACCATCATGCTTGCCCTTATGTATGCTCCCGTAGTTTTTTAAAGATCACACTGTCTGGGTCTTGTGCCAAGGTCAACAGAATGAGCTCCGAAGTGTTTCCTCCACTCTTGTCAAGGATGGTGAAGACTTTGTGTTAATACTTGGAACGCTGCCGTCTGGACCTGTGATTTCTGTGTGGGTGGACTGCTCACTTAAATCCCAGCCACTGCCTCTGTCTCCAGGCTTGTTCAAGGTCTATCCAGACACTCTTTCTTCCCATGCCCATTTCTTCTTTGCCATTCTAGAATTTGCCCATTGCGTCTAAACTACTCGCCTCGCAGGCACATTATTCCTTTTCCTCCTTGGTGGCACTAGCAGGGTCCCACCTGCCTTTCCTGTTCCTGTGGTATGAAGTGTGTCGGTTTTGGTCTTTTCAAGAGTCAACTTCTCAGGTCTGCCTTCTGCTCTGGTATTCCTGCTCCAATTTCTATTGCCTCTTCCAGTGTACTGTGATTCCTTTTCCTCTCCTTTTCCCAGCTGTCTAAAAGTGGAATGTTAGGTCATTCATGCCAAAGCTTTTTTTGTAGGCATCTCACCGATCAAATCAGAAGTGCTCAGTGGTCAGTGGTTCCAGGTTTTAAATGCCTTTCCAGTTTCCCGGAATCAACCTGCCCATTAGCCCACATACAGAAATGATGTTAAATAAATCTTCAAGAGGAGGAGGGCAGATTGGGCCTTTTTAGCCAAATTCTTATACCCTTCCCCTATTCCCACACGTCCCTGGTGCCGGGTCTGTGTGACATCTCGCGTCCCTGACTGACTTCCTCGTAGCCACCGTCTGCCAACCGGGTGTCCCTCTCCTCCACAGGGCGAGTGCTCCGCAAAGTGCCGCAACCTGTTCGTGCTGGAGACGGTGTGCGTGGCCTGGTTCTCCTTCGAGTTCCTGCTGCGCTCCCTGCAGGCCGAGAGCAAGTGCGCCTTCCTGCGGACTCCGCTTGCCATCATCGACATCCTGGCCATCCTGCCCTTCTACGTGTCGCTGCTCGCGGGGCTGGCGGCAGGGCCCACGGGCAGCAAGATGCTGGAGCGCGCGGGGCTGGTGCTGCGGCTGCTGCGGGCGCTGCGCGTGCTCTACGTGATGCGCCTGGCGCGCCACTCGCTGGGACTGCGCTCGCTCGGCCTCACCGTGCGCCGCTGCGCGCGCGAGTTCGGACTGCTGCTGCTCTTCCTCTGTGTGGCCATGGCGCTCTTCGCGCCGCTCGTGCACCTGGCTGAGCGCGAGCTGGGCGCTCGCCGCGACTTCTCCAGCGTCCCCGCCAGCTACTGGTGGGCCGTCATCTCCATGACCACCGTGGGCTATGGAGACATGGTGCCGCGCAGCCTGCCGGGCCAGGTGGTGGCGCTGAGCAGCATCCTCAGCGGCATCCTCCTCATGGCTTTCCCTGTCACCTCCATCTTCCACACCTTCTCGCGCTCCTACTCGGAGCTCAAGGAGCAGCAACAGCGCGCGGCCAGCCCTGAGCCGGTCCTGCGTGAGGACAGCACGCGCGACGACAGCACGCGTTCGGCCAGCGCCACCGAGGACAGCTCGCAGGACCCCGAGAGCGCAGGCGCAGCAGGAAGCTCGCCAGGCCGGGTGGGACCCTCAGCCTAGTGCCCTGCTAAAAGCTTCCGGAGGGACACGAAGCGTCCGCTGACCCAGGAGTCGCAAACTTGGTCTGGCATGCCATTGCAGCCGGCCTGGCACCCCCAAGCAACCCCGAGCTTCGCGTAGCCTGGAGGATACAGCAGCCTGGTCTTTCTTCCCTCTTTTATTTTCCCTCCAGTTTTAAATTTTCTATGGCTAATTAAAAATAATTGAGTTCCAGAAAGTCCAAGTCTGAAGCAAATGCCAGCCACCCCAGACTAACTTTCGCCTTCCCTGGCTCCCAATCTAGGGCAGCCCCAGGGAACAGAGGGTGACATCCACCTTGTGACCCCCGGTGGGCAATACCCCATGTAAAGGACTTCAGCAGGCACCTGACACTACCAGTGTCCACATCACCTGCCAAGCGTTGGGGCAGAGGTTTGCCGGGGCTGTTAGTCCCCGAGTTCTGCCTAACTGCTCTTTGCAAGGGGAGAGGAGACATCTCAGCGTTGACCTCTGACCTCTGATCCTCCACACCAGCTCAATCCGGTGATAAGGTTGCTCTCGAGGTTTGCATGGTGGCCTTTTAACCCTTTCCCTGCCCTCCCAGCTGGTCTGTGGGAAGGTTGTCTGTCTCCAGGGGATGCTCTCTTCTGTTGGGACGTTTCCCTCAGACATGGCTCAAGTGAAAACCAAAACTTCGGTGAAGGGCCTATCGGGGTGAGGGGCAGTTCAGAGAGACTCCTGCTGGGACACTGATATGCCAAGGAGGCATGGCCTTTCTCTACTCCATGAAAGCAAGGGAAATGGAACTTTCCAAGCCATGTGGCTTCACCCTGTCCCCACAACCCAGCAGGTGGTGGCCCATGCCTGTAATCACAACACTCGGGAAGTAGGGGCAGGAGGATCAGATGTTCCGTGAGCCCCAGGCACCCACCCAACACACACATCCATACATAAGAGATTCACAGACCTCCTCCATCAGGAGGGAAAGTCCTCTGTCTTCAGGCCATCATCACAGTCTACTGCATAGTAGCTTTCAGCAAGGCCCCTACGTGGGCTCAGTACAGGCCCATTTGGGGCCCTTGTACCACACAGGCTTTGCAAGAATCTACTGCAACCAAATAACAAGTTGCAAGCCCCCTCCTCACAGCAGGAAGCCGAGTTCTGCTCAGTTGGGTATCATGTATGTTCTGTGGGGTCCATGCTGAGTCCGGGGCTCCTAGAGCTGTGATTGGGGGGGGGGTTGGCAAACGCACACGGCAGGAACAGAGCACCCCCAACCTTTGACTTTGCTAGCATCCTTGGTGATGGCACACACTGCCCTGACAGTGCAATTAGCCCATCCTTACATGGTCCTCACTCCCCGGGCAGGTGGGAGATTTCAGAGTATCAGGCAGAGAACTGAATCCAGGACTGGAGTGGGCTTGGATATCCATGGCATGTCTCTAGGGGTAGGGGTGGCATGGAGTGGCAGGCGTGCACACACATAGGCTTCACCTGTCAAGGCAACGGGGCATGAGAGATAAGGGCCCTGGGAAGCAAACAGGTAACTTGGTCTTGCCAGAAGCACCTCCTCCAGGACCAAGCAAGAGATGGAGGCCAGTGACCCACACCAGGCAACCTTCTTGCACTTCTCTTCAGAGCATCCCACCTTTTCTGGGATCTCCGTGTAATCTCCTTGAGACAAAAGGGGTACTCTGCTGTTAGATGTAGGAACAGTTGCTAAGGATGGGCCTGGCCAAGCTTGGCTGAAACCTGGAGCCCAGCATGGGTTTTGCTGAGTCCCTGGTGGCAGCCCTGTACAGAATGCCCTTCTTGCTACTGGGTCCACATCCACTAGGGCCAAAGCCAACAGTTTTGTTTTGTTGTTTTTAAGACATCTTTGAAGGAATGGCGAAAATGCAGGGACTAGAAGAGCCAGAGCATCCTCCAAAAGTGGGGAGAGCTAGAAGTTACCCCAGGGTACCTTGAGCTCAGGCCTGCCTCCCCAGCGTGTGTAACAACATGGGTAGACCTTGAACACACACTGAAGATGGGTCTGGGACTTTCAAGGTGAACTGCCTTTCCTGTAGCAATGGCTTTGGGCTTGCTTAGGTCCCGATGGGGATTTTGGTACCAGCAGACAGAGATCTAGCCAGAAGGAAACCTCCTGTAACCAGGCTGGCATTCAAGGTGAACCCCTTCCCCAGGGACAGTATGGACTCCTGCTAGTCAGATGCACTGACTTCCTCCATGAAGATCTGAGAAGTAAACTTCAGGCTGTTGTTCCTTGGAAGCCAGGGAATCGATGAGGAACTAGCACGGGATCTATTGTCATTCTGACCAGTAGCCAACAACACTCTCAACCAGGGGCATCGGAAGCCACCGTGTTACCATACGGCGGAGGTGACAGCCAGCCCTGTTGAGAATGATGGACAGGGAAGGACACATCTCTCCTGAGCTAGCCACCTCCTAAAAACTATTCGCAGAAGGATATAGGGCTGGGCGTGCTGTGGCCTCAGCTTCCTGTTTGGTTTCAGGGAACATGTCATGTATTCCCCTGGATTCCAACCAGCCCTCTTGGGACATAGGAGAAGTCCATATAGAAACACAAGGCAAGACACCACAGTGCACTGGCTGCATCCTTGGTGCGTGTGATACTTAAACGTTGACCACAATCACAGCAGGGATTGGGTTGCGGAAAGCAGCTCTTCCCATACTGCCAAGAGCTGACTGGGCTTGCGTGCTCAGAACCGTGGTGAGGTGCAGCCTCAGCCATGCAGGCAATGACCCCGCAGTCTACAACACCCTGCCAGGCCACTGAGGTGCAGCCTCAGCCATGCAGGCAATGACCCCGCAGTCTACAACACCCTGCCAGGCCACTGAGGTGCAGCCTCAGCTTGCAGGCAATGACCCCGCAGTAATCTACAACACCCTGCCAGGCCACTGAGGTGCAGCCTCAGCTTGCAGGCAATGACCCCGCAGTGATCTACAACACCCTGCCAGGCAGAGAACAGGAGTGAGTCCAGGCAGTGCCTCCCTCCTGTGCTTCTGTTTCCTCACTGTTAAACGGTTGGTCCAGAGTGGTCCCCCAAACCCGTCTACTTCAACAGCTTGGAAAAGCATAATCCCAGTCATGACTGCATATCTCTGGCTTACCTGGAACCCTCCGTCAGCTTCACGGAGGGCAATTTGAGTCCATTCATCCTCAAATGCCAGACAGATGTCCTCATCCACCCAGACATGGACCACAGTCCCTAAGAGCCACATGAACCCTTCAGCCCAATGCCACCCCGTACCAACCTCCACCTCCCAAACTAGTGCCAGTCACCCTTCTCCACAAATCTGTACCACTGCCACCCTCTACCCTACATCTCACCCCCCTCCTGCTCTGTAATTCCATCCTCCCTACCGGACCCACATACTGTTTACTGACTTAAAGACACCACAAGGAGCATGTTCGTTCAGCAGCTGGGCCTGCAACCGATGGCGTTTACTTTGGAGGTAATTACCATTACAGACATCTCCCTTCATCTTCAAAAAAATAAACATCTTGCAAGCATCTCACAGGCCCGAGAGAGCGAGTAAGCAAGAATCTCGCTCACACACTTAGAATATCTGAGGCAAGCTTGAAGGTGGCACAGTGCGGCCTCTTCAGCCACCTGGTGCGCCACCAGGACTGTCAAGAGCTATTGTGCTGTCCGTGGGTGGCGTCACTGTGTGCACGAGAAGACCTCCTGCCCAGCAGAAGGGAAGAAACTGTGATGTAGAAGCATCTAGAACATTCTGGACCCAGGAGCCAGCCAGGCCAGCACAGGGCTGCCAAGCATACGTGATCTCAAGATGAGCAGAGAGAGGAGCAAAATACAGTGACCAGGGTCAGGCCAGCAGCTTCCATCTCCACCAGGTGCCGCAAATATACCCGCGGCACACCAGAGCAGGGCAGGGCAGAGCTTGAGGACAGACCAGCCACCAGCAGCCATGACTGAACACTGTCTAGAGCGCCACAGGCTCTGCCAAGAGACAAGAGGCTCGCTGAGGGAGACTGGCTGAGAGGAAGGGACTCAGCGGGCTGCTGTGCCTGCCAACTTGCTCAGCTGCATGAACCTACTTCAGGGTCAGGCCAGCGTTTTCCTGAAGGAGGTAGGGAAAGACACCTGCCTTTTCTATCACCTTGAAAACACCACAGAGCCAGCCCTAGCTCCACTACCCCCGAGTCCCCCACCTGAAGGCTGTGGGGACAAGCACTCAACTTCCTATCTCTGGCTACACGCGGCCTGTTTGTCTGTGGCGTGTGCAGGGCCAGCCTCCCTAATGCAGACGCATAGGTTGGGACTCAGCACCCACGGCTGATTGGTCACATGTCCTTGTCTTCCAGAGATGCCTCAGAGAGCCTTGGCACTAGTCGGGTGTACTGCGTGGGGTGCTGGCTTCTGGGGGTGGTGAGCAAAGGCATAGGCCTGCCCCAGGATAGCCAGGTCCACCATGACCTGCAGCAGACCACAGACAGAGAACTGCAGAGGAGCGCCATTGAGCAAGAAGTAGGCTGTCTTGAAGGTGTCGCCACTTGTCCACATGAGCACCATCTTGAGGCTGCAAGGAGACAAAAGGACAGTCAGTGTTGACCCGAGAACGGGGACCTATACAGAGGTCAGCGGTGTGACCCAGAGGATTAGGGGGCATGTTAAGAAATGGGGCCAGGGGGCGGTGGTGGTGCACGCCTTTAACCCCAGCACTCGGGAGGCAGAGCCAGGCCGATCTCTGTGAGTTCGAGGCCAGCCTGGGCTACCAAGTGAGCTCCAGGAAAGGCGCAAAGCTACGCAGAGAAACCCTGTCTCGAAAAAAACAAAAAAACAAAAAAAAAAACAAAAAAAGAAAGAAAGAAAGAAAAGAAAAGAAAGAAATGGGGACCACAGAAGGATACCCTGACCCAAGCCTGCCCAACCTACCACCTTGCACCCTTCTCTGGTCCCAGAGAGAGAGAGAGGACACTCTACCTCACACCAGGACCTGGCAGTTCTGACCCCCGTGGGTCAGACCATGGCTCTGGCCAGAATGGCCTAATCACAGAAAGCCACAAGGGCTGGTATCCAGGGAGGCCAGAACCTCAGGGCTCTTTAGCCTGGCCCAGGAGGTTCCCACACTGGGTGCTACAGGTGTTGGGGGACGGTGGAGAAGACAGAGGAAGGACAGGAAGCATAAAGAGGCTGCCCTGGGGCCTTCTCTCAAGAGAGATTTCCATTAGAGAAACAGAAACGACCATGGCCTATTGCCCCATACATCCTGTGTCTTCACATGGCATTAGAGACGCCAGACATAACTGCTTCTCTGCATCATAGGCGCAAACAAGCTCAGCCTTCCTAGCAGCTGAACCTGCAGCATTAAACTACACGCAGCCCAAGTGTGCAGGCTGCAGCTGATGCCCCCAGGCAGGCAGCTGATTGCCGCTTACCGCCGCCAAGTCCCCTCACACACCATGCAGAGGAAACATCCCACAAGCGAAAGACACAGCCACTTATTTTAGCCACCTCTCTGCAATAATGCCAGCTTCCTGTCCTCTTGGGGACACCAGCTTGCTCCTTCCTGAAATGGCTCTCTCTTTATGCCAGTCCCAGTGCTACAGCTCAGGTGCCCCAGAACAAAAGGGGCATCACACCCAGGTGGGGTGGCACTTGGACGGTGGAGCAGATGGATTAGGAGTTCAAGGTAAGTCTCAGCTACAAGACTTTGTCTCAAAACAAACAGCATTACTGGAAGACATCACAGACACACACAATCCAGATAAAGGACCCCTGATGGGTATACTAATATGGGGCCACACGGAGGTTACTACTGGCTCCTGTTTCTCGTGTGATTGGACAAGTCTGAGGTTGCAGGGAGCTGAAGCCAGTTGGTATGACATAACTGTATGACAAGGTCAGAAAGCTCAGATTTCACCTCTCAGACAAGTGGCAATGTCCCTCATAATCCCACAACACCAAATGAACAGGAAACAACTTCCACGGGATCTTCTATGGGAGTCAAGCCCAGAAAGAAGGCTTTTAGCTCTCATTTTATGATCAGGAAAAGCCAGGGGATGGAGAGATGGCTCAGCAGTTGAGAACATTGGCTATTCTTCTAGGTTCGATTCCCAGCACCTGCCTGGCAGCTTACAACTGTCTGTAACTCCAGTTCTAGGGGATCCGACACCCTCACATAGACATACGT